AGTTTCACCATGTTAGCCAGGATGGTCTCGATCTCCTGACCTCGTGATCCGCCCGTCTCGGCCTCCCAAAGTGCTGGGATTACAGGCTTGAGCCACCGCGCCTGGCGGGAATGAGATTTCAACATGAGTTTTGAAGGGGACAAATATTCAAACTGTGTCAGCCATTTTAAATGTGTAATTCAGCAGTGTGAAGTACATTAACATGGTTGTGCAACTGTTACCACCATCCGTCTCCAGAACTCTTTTTATCTTGCAAAACTGAAACTCAATAACTATTAAATAAAAACTCCCCATTCACCCCCGCTCCCAGCCCCTGGCAAACAGCATTATACTCTGTCTCTATTTGACTACTCTAGGTACCTCATATAATTGGAATCACATAGTATTTGTCTTATTGTGTCTGGCTTATTTCATTTTGCATTGTGTCCTTTAGGTTCATCCATGTTGTAGTATGTATCAGAGTTTTCTTCCTTTTAAAAGCTGAATAGTATTTGTGGTTAGTTTTTTTTATTACCAACTCAATTTCTTTATATACAGGTTTAGTCAGATTTTTTATTTTTTCTTGAGTCAGTTTTGGTAGTTTGTGTTTTTCTCAGAATTAATCTGTTTCATCTAGGTTTTCTAATTTATTGATACAGTTGTTCTGAAAATTCTCTTATAATCCTTTTTATTTCTGCAAAGTTGGTAGTAATGTTCCCTCTTCGGTTCCAGATTTTAGTTTCTTGAGTCTCCTCACTTATTTTCTTGGTCAGTGTAGCTAAAAGTTTGTCAGTTTCTCTGTTTAAAAAAAAAAAAAAAAAATTTTTTTTTTTTGAGACGTAGTTTCGCTCTTGTTTCCCAGGCTGGAGTGCAATGGCGCAATCTCGGCTCAGCGCAACATCTGCCTGCCGGGTTCAAGCCATTCTCCTGCCTCAGCCTCCGGAGTAGCTGAGATTACAGGCGTGCGCTACCACGCCCAGCTGATTTTGTATTTTTAGTAGAGACAGGGTTTCTACTAAACCTGTCTCTACTAAAGACAGGTTTAGTAGAGACATGTTAGTCAAGCTAGTCTTGAACTCCCGACGTCAGGTGATCTGCCTGCCTCGGCCTCCCAAAGGGCTGAGATTACAGGCATGAGCCACCATGGCCGGCCAAAAAAAATTTTTTCATTTAAAATGAAACCGACTTTTGGTTTCATTGATTTTTCTCTATTGTTTTTTTCTGTTCTCTGTTTTGTTTATTTCTGCTTTAATTTTATTATTTTCTTTTTTTCTGCTTTGAGTTTAGTTTTAGCTTGATGTTCTCCTTCTGCTTAAGGTAGAAAGTTAGGATATTGATTTGAGATCTTTCTTCTTATTTAATGTAGGTTATAAATTTTCCTCTAAGCACGGCTTTAGTTGCATCCTAGAAGTTTTGATATGTTGTGTTATTTTCATTAATCTCAAAGTATTTTCCATTTTTCTATGACAGAAATCTCTTGTGATTTCTTTCTGACCCATTTTTATTTAGGTATGTACTGTTTAATTTCCACATATATGCACTTGAGAAGAATGTATTCTCTTGTGGTTAAGTGAAGTATCCTTTTCATGTCAGTTAATTCTGATTGGTTTGTAATACTGTTCAGTATTTTCTTATTAATCTTCTGTGTAGTTTTGTCCTTTTCTGAAAGTGAGATATTGAAGTCTGAAAAACTAATATTTTTGAGTTGTCTGTTTCTCCTTTCAGTTCTTTCAGTTTATGTTTCATATATTTTGGCATGCATGCTAGGTGCATGCATGTTTATAATTGTTATGTCTTTTTGGTTGGTTGATCCTTTTATCATTAGAAAATGTCTTTATCTCTAGTAACAATATTTAATAATAGTTATCTAAAAGACTATTTTTTCCACTAGTATAGTCACTCCAGCTCCCTGTTGGTTACTATTTGAATAGTATATCTTTTTTCATCATTTTTCAACCTGTTTGTGTCTTTAAATGTAAAATACCTCTGTTGTAGACAGCATATAGTTGGATCATTTTTTAAAAAATTAATTCTGCCAATCTCTTATTTAATTAGAGTGCTTAAACCTTTTACATTTAATTTAATTACTAACAAGGTGAGATGTATCTCTCCCATTCTATTTGTTTTCTATGTGTCATGCCTTTCATGTTGTTATTGCTTTTTTTATGTCAAATAGATATTTTCAAATGTACCATTTAAATTTCCCATGGTTTCTTTTGCTCTATTTTTTTTTAGTTATATTGTTAATGTTGCCCTAGGGATTACAATTAACTTCTTAACTTATAACAATTTACTTCGGCTTAATACTAACTTTATTTTAATAGTATACAAAAGGCCGGGCATGGTGGCTCATGCCTGTAATCCCCGCACTTTGGGAGGCCGAGGTGGGCAGATCACCTGAGATCAGGAGTTCGAGATTAGCCTGGCCAATTTGGTGAAACCCCATCTCTACTAAAAAAAAAAAAGATACAAAAATTAGCCAGACACAGTGGTGCATGCCTGTAATCCCAGCTACTCGGGAGGCTGAAGCTGGAGAATAGCTTGTACCCAGGAGGCAGAGGTTGCAGTGAGCCGAGATCGCGCCACTGCACTCCAGACCGGGCGACAGAGTGAACTTTGCTTCTGTATCGCTCAATTTCTTCTCCTCTCTTTTATGCTGTTATCGTCATATAACTTACGTTCTTATACATTGTGTGTCCAAAACAAATTTAAAATTATGCCATTGTCTCTTAAGTCATATAGGAGAACAAAAGAGATACAAACAAAACATACATTTATCCTGTCTTTTATATTTGCCTATGCAGTTACCTTTACCAGTGTTCTTTATTTCTTCATGTGGATCTGAGTTACTGTCTTTTAACTTCAGTCTAAATTTCCTTCAGTCTGAAAGACTGTATTTTATTTCTTGTAGGGTAGGTCAACTAATGATTAATTCTCAGTATTCTGAGATAAATTTTCCAGTTTATTTGAGAGTATCTTAATTTCTCCTTCAGTTTTGTAGGATAGTTTTTGCTGGATATAGAATTTTTTTTTTTTTTTTTTGAGACAGGGTCTCGCTCTGTCACCCAGGATGGAGTGCAGTAGGGCAATCTGCTCACTGCAACCTTTGCCTCCCAGGATCAAGCGATTCTCCTGCCTCAGCCTTCTGAGTAGCTGGGACTACAGAGTAGTGTACACCACCTTGCCCAGCTCATTTTTATTTTTTTGGTAGAGATGGGGTTTCACCATGTCTCCTAGGCTGGTCTCAAACTCCTGACCTCAAGTGATCTTTCCACCTTGGCCTCCCAAAGTGCTGGAATTACAGGTGTGAGCCACTGTGCCTGGCCACCTTTTAAATCTTTTAACTTCTGAAACTTCAAAGGTTCAGGTCTTCTCTGAGCTCTACCGTCAGCTGACTCTTGGCTTTAACTAGAACATTCACATCGCTGGAATTATTTTCCCCACCTGTCAAGTAAGGTCGCTGGACTGATCTTTAATGTCCTTTTCTGCACTAATGTTTGATAGGTCTAAGAGTTGCCATTTTTGATAGATCTGTAGGATAGAAATGATAATAAAACAGAGAAAAATTTAACCAACCCCCTCTGCCATTTTTAACCTGATAAGAATTACTGAATTGCAGAAAAAGAACTCATCAAACTTAACAGGAACTCTTAATCCTGAGTGGATCTGCCACATCGTTTTTTCACCGATGACATTTTTCTCTAATGGGCATGAAAAGGACAAGATGAATCAGTGATGGCACAGAGCCAGCTGTGTAAAGATTTAGCCATATGGATAGTTAAGGAAAGTGGGTCTAACTGAAGTTAAAAACCAGTGAACTACCTCAAAATTAGATTCCTTTTTGGCTTCTTCTACTGATAATGGTGGTAAGGTAATCTTTGCTTTTTGTGTTTAGCTTGTTGAAACCATTGTCCATTTAGTTAATTAAGCCCTGATTTATATCCTTTGTAAAAGTGAATTCTCTTAGAAGTTGTTACTGGTACATCTGGATGGATTTTCACCTCCTAGTTTTAAGCCATTCAGGTTATTCACTTCATAAGGGGTTGGTCCAATAAGCTGCATTTGTCAGTCTTGCAAATACCAGCATGTAAAGCTTGATCTTTTTTATTCTGTTTATCCTTCATACTGCCAATTTATCTGAAAGATCAATGAGAACATAAAATGTTTTTCTGCTGTATTCTCACTTTTATTACATCTGTAATAAAAATGTCGTTTTAGTAAATAAGGATGGTTCAGTTCATATCAGATTTTTTTTCATTATCTTCCCAGTAGCACCCAGAGCCAAAGTGTAATGTTTAGTTACACTTTGGTTTCCCAGTTTCTTGTTCAAATCTGCAAACCATGAGCAAAGGTTAACTAAGAGTGATCATTTTTCTGTATCTGCTTTAAATGGGATAAATATAAAGCCAGTAGCCATATATATAATATATGCATGTGTCTATATGCATATAAAAATATTTGTCAAATACTCTGAAATAATTTTTTTGTAGAACTGAAAGACTATACCTCAATTTGACTCTTAAAGAAAGATGATTACGTATTGTTAAAATAGATCTCATAATCATATCATTAATGAGCAAAGTAGTGGTTCTCTGCATATATTCCAGCTTTTGTTGGATTAATGTGAAAATTCTAAGATATTACCCGGATTTACATTTGAGAAAAACTGTTACAAAAGGCAGGCACCTAAATGTAATTGTCATATTGATCTTTATAATTTTGTGTATGTATTTAAGTTTATATAAAGTATAGTTTCTTAGCTTGCCTTTGACTAGTTTCTTTCAGTTTGTCATGTGTGCAACTATACACTTCAGAATAAAATGAAAATATCCACTTATACTTCATCAGGAAGTATGATTATGTTATAGATAACATTGGACTAAAAACAAGTTTTATACTACACATCCAATGTATGGTGTAGGAAGTGTAAGAACATAGTCTCACAGTGAATACACAGGAGGAGCCCAGTGCATTGTTCCGGTAGTTTCATTTGTAGTAATACGGCATGTTTATCTCTACAGGGGGATCTTTGGATGTATATAGGAAAATGCCAGAACACGTCCTTGGAAGAATTGCAGTAGCAGTAAGTATATGGCTTCAGTTTTAGGAAATATGAGTGATTTAATCCTTCTAATCAAGCTCACTCTTCTTATATTCTCAATGTCTTTTCTTGTTCTTCAATCCCAGTTGGCTCCCAAGACCTTCTTGACTTTCTCCTGTTTTGTTCTTTCTTCTTTTCATAGACCAGCCACCCACCGTCACAACATAGTCACACACTTATGTATTCCAACCTGTTCTAGTTTCATGTATTTGCAGGGACCTTGCTGTTCTTGTTGACTCGTAAAATTTCCAAGTTGTTCTTAAAAAAAAAAACAAAACTGCTTTTTTGTTTTGTTTTTACATTTTGTAGTTATGATTAGCATATGTTTCGCAAATACTTAAAAAGTCTGAGTTATTAAAGCAGTCTATGAGAAAACACTAATTTGTTAAGAACAAAGTAGTAGTAGTAAAGATTTTTTGCAGTCTTTTTATGTTCTTGGTTTTTAATTTTTTCATCAACTATATCTAGAAATTTATTCCCTTTGTGATTTAAAGCAGTTTTTCCATATTCATGTATTTTCTGTATACACTAATATACTGATGAAATTGAACTAACATTACTATAATGTTCTCATAAGTTCCGTATTTCACATTTATGATAATGTAGGTTAAACAGTGTCTGAGAGAAGTCATGGGGTGGTGTAATAGTAAACAATTGCTAAGCTAAAGGCACTATGATAACTTCAGTGGTTTATTGCAGAACAAAGTGATTGTACCATGTACCATATAATTAAATGGCTGATTTTCACATTCATTATGCATCAGACTGACAACTCAAATTCTTTAATCCAACATGGACACTTATTTAGTCTTAGTTCATTGTAATTCACAGCTTTCCTTTTTTCTTTCTAATTATTAGTGTGAACTGCCCTGGGTGATGAGAACTTTCTTTTCTGATGCTATTGCTGCTAAGTAGCTTCTCATCTACATGTGTAGGTAGATTAGTATGAAATTTGAGTACTTAAATCACTATTTTAGATGAAAATAAAAATGTTTCATTTCCTGTTCTAATGCCAGGAGAGTGAATGCTTTGTGGCTTTTGGCAGTTCTTGGCTGTAAAGTTTAATAACATGTATAATAAAGGGCAAAAAAAGGCAAGGATACCAATTGAAAAAGAAAAAAGTATACAAGTTCTATATACTCAATTATCTATGGAACTTGGCAAAAATAGAAATCTCCCATCTTCAGTAGAGAAGCATGTTCTTCCTGAACTTCATAAATCTTACTTCCCTCTTGTTTAGGGCATCCACACAAGGCCACTAATCTTTTCAATTCTACTGGAGTAGGAAGACTGTTGAAGTGAATAGAGTCAGCAGAAAAAATAATTCAGCATCAAATGCAGGCCTTGCCTATTAAGTGAATGAAAATATGACACAAATTATTTTAGTGAAAGGCATTAAAGTAAGTGCTACTCCAAAGGATTGTTTATATTTGCTCTTGCATTTTTTTTATTAGGGATTTTTCCCCCTAAATATGTGTCCAATTTCTCCAGCTTTTATGACTCATCACGTCATAGTAATGAAAACTACATACAGCTGTAGTAGAAGAAATGCTTTTAATAATTTTGCTTTTTGTCTGCCACTTTTTATAAATTCTGCAGGAGCCTGGGTTTGTGTAATGCCTCCAAAGTGTATTTTTTTTTTAACGTATCCTGAATAGGCTACAAATTTGAATGATCATTTGTTGCAGTTGACGAACACCAGATTGGCCCATGGCTAATACCTGACGCTAGGAGGGTTGTACTAGTCAAAATAAGACTAGCAAATTGATGGGCTGTGGGTTATGGTGTGTAAACTAAATATTCCCACAGTCTGATTGTGTTCCCAGTATCCTTGGTCATCTCTCCAAAAGTGTACTGAAGATGGCATCAACATCTTTCCCTTGAGTTCCCTCATTGAGACCAAGAAAGCACAAGGGTGCTATTGCCAAGTGAAAAGCAACAGAATCAGAAAGAGAGAGTGGGAAAATCGGTGTATATTGAATACTTCCTGTGCTAATCACTAATGCATGCTGTCTATACAAATATTATGTCATTTAGTCTTTACAGCCACCATGTAAAGTGTGGATTGTTGAACACACTCTGTGCACATGCAAGATGAGGTTTGGAAAAGTTAACCAGCTTGCCCAGAGTTATCATCTAATTAGTCAGTACAAATTTGAACACAGGGCTGTCTGACACCAGACCCCTTGCTTTCTCAGTGTGTTCTCCTAACAGAATGAGGAAAAAAAAAAAAAAAATAGAGGCAAGAGTGAAAGAAAGAGCTAGGCTAAAAAATAAAAAAAGAGACTTATGAATGAGAAAATAATGGAGCAACACAATTGCTTCAGATTCTTCTCATGTCTTTAGGTATCTCTCTTTTCCCAAATTAACTTTATTTTCCAGGGTCTAATAATCTGGCATGCAAGGCAGATTCATAGGTCCAAGGTTCATTACAGCATGGACCTCTGTCGACCTCTGTGATATGTTATTCAAATTTTCTCCTGTAAAATGTATGGCAAGAGAGTTTCCCCCCCCCCAAAGGAATTTATACATACCTGGTTTCAGCCTTCCAACTTGCTCAGTGACTCAGTGGTTTTTCTCTACTATCCATTTGAATATGGTCTCCTATAAAGAGGAATGAATGCCTTTCTGCCTTTCCCTGCCACCTAACACATTCTGTTTTTCTTCTCATTTCTGAAGCAGTGACATTGTGTACTGTATTTTGAGTGCTAATGTTGATTGAAGTTGTCCCTGAAAGGAGGTGCACTTGACATGTCAAGGAGCGAGTGATTGACAACAGATATAAGTACTTTTAGTGTCAAGGCTTTGTCAAGTCATTGTTGTGAAACCCAGCCTACTGAATACCAATAATATCCTTTAGATTTTTCAGTTCACAGATTTCTAGCTCCTTTTTCACCAGAATTTACATGTTTCTAAAGGAAAATGTAGTGTATTTTGACAAAGAATAAGAATATTTTCTTTTTGAATCTCTAACAGAGTGAATAATTTTAGCAGATATTGTAAAATCAGTATTTGTTTTACTTTTTCTACCTGATAATCAGAATATATTGGATTGCCTTTCCTTACATGTTTTCTGAAAATTCATTTTGTATGGAACCAATTTTTAGCGGTGAACTATCTTTAATGGATAGTTTTTATAACATGCAGCTAAGCTTCTAAGTTGAAAATTTTAACCCTACTTCCTCAGAACGGAGAAGATGATCACCTCCATGCTAAATAAGATAACCTCCTCCTATTACTCAGAGAGAAAATTGTTATCATTATGGATGTTACTTTTTATAAACATTTAAAGAAATATTTTTGTTATGTTTCCTTCTGTGATAAAATTATCATTATTAATATTTTGATATTTTCTTGCTGTATTGTCTTCCTGTCCAGAATACATGTGTTTTATTGTAATGCCAGTTATTTCCAAACTCTGAAAGAAGTCATTTGCTATAAAAATGTATGCTGTTCTCTTAGAATAGACAAACATATACCGGAATTGATGAATCTATGTAAGCAAATCTTTCAGGAGCACATTGCACCCTTTGAGAACAATTAAAATATGTTAACCTCTGCTCAGTATTAATTGATATAGATTTTTGTCTTCTAGATCTTTTGGAAATTGGCTTTCTCCCGTTGCATTTCTTATTTTACAGTTGCTCTTAGGCTTCCTTGATCAACTCGAATCCTTGCATATTTAGCCCCTAATGCACTTCTTACCATTTTCAAGATATTAAACCACTCAGTTACTTCTCATGGTAATGGTAGGTTTTCTTGTTCTTATAGTCCTGACTTACCCGGAATTCTCTATAATGACGAATACTTTTCAATCTTACAGTAAATTTTGACTAGTAGTGATTTGTTCAGTGTATCTGGTGTCAAATTATGAATAGTCAACCTTGAAATTGGTAAGTTCACACTCATGTGCATATAGGGTCAATGGTTATGAATAAAACATGTGCATTTCCTTTTACAGCAATTTATATGTAAAGATTTTTTAAGTTTTTAATGGTGAGCACTGATTAAATTTTCCACATAGAAGGGAGTACTTGTAACCCATATACTTAGGGTCATGAAAACACCTTTTTCTCAGTATCTCATTCAACTAATTACTCTTAACTCACGCTATGAAAGTGAAAACTGCAAATCTAATTCAGATGTTTGTATTTTCTCATTTTATTTCCTTGACCTGCCTTTTTAATACCTTGCCTTGTCAACATATATGCTTTGCGCCAGCCAGACTGGCTTGTGAGGACCATCTTGATATACTTCGTTCTTTCCTACTCCAATAAACTTTATAAATTTGGGGGGAACTTTTTGTTTTGAGATTATTTTAATCTTATAGAAAAGTTGTGAGACTAATACAAAAAATTCCCACAGATGCTTCACCTATATTCCCTAGTTGTTAACAGTTTACCACATTTGGTTAAAAATCTATAAACATATTTTTTCCTGAAACATTTGAGAATAAGTTACAGATACCATGGCCTTTATCCCAAAATATGTTAAGTATCTATTTCCTAAGAACAAACACATTATCTTACGTAATCACTGATTAAAATCAGGAAACTAGTATTGATACAATATTATTATCTACTCAACAGCCCTTATTTGAATTTCACCAATTGTCCAATAATACCCTGTATAGACCAAAGAAAAAAAATTCTGGTTCTGGAAGTCTAGGATTATTCTTTGCATTTGGTTGTCATGTCTCTCTAATGCCTCAGTGTTTGTCTTTCATGACTTTGATATTTTGGAAGAGTATATTGCCCCAATACTTTGATTATATATTTTTACCTTGACCTAAACACTTCCTTCTCTTTTTTTCATTTAAGTTAAATCCATTACTCAAGACACAACACCTTAGTAAACCTTTCTGACTCCTGATGGAAAAAGCAGTTTCTATTCTACCCACTGCCTTATTTCATCAGTTGACTTTTTTTAAATGTCTCTCCAGGCCAGGCATGGTGACTCCCACCTGTAGTCCCAGGGATTTGGGAGGCCAAGGCAGGAGGATCCCTTGAGGCCAGGAGTTCAAGACCAGCCTGAACAACAAAACAAGATCACATCTCTACAAAAAATATTTTTAAATTAGCAGGGTGTGGTGGTGTGCACCTGTAGTCCCATCTACTCAGGAGGCTGAGATGGGAGGATTGTTTGATCCCAGGAGTTTGAGGTTACAGTGTGCTATGATTGCACCACTGCACTCCAGCCTGGGCAACAGAGTGAGATCCTGTCTCAGAAGAAAAGTTTCTCCTTGGTCATAAGTGTCCTGACTTCAGAAAATGTTTTACACAGAGAAGTATAGAAAATTAAGAAAGCCATTTCCGTTTTTCCTGTCTGTCTCCTTGCCTGGCTTAGCATCATTATGATTTCAGCATAGGTACTTCCAGATTATTTTATATACACATGCACTTATTTCTTTCATTTGGAGTACCTTATCTTCAGAAGATTATAAGCTCATTAAAGGTAGGAACTGTGGCTTTTGCATTTGGTTTTCCCGCAAAGCCTCACACAGAAATGGGAGATGTTCAGTAAATGCTTATTGATTGACAGAGTTTTAAAGGAAGAGTTAGGCCAGGCGTGGTGGCTTACGCCTGTAATCCCAGCACTTTGGGAGGCTGAGGCAGGAGGATCACTTAAGCCTAGGAGTTCAAGACCAGCTTAGGCAACATTAGTGAGATCCCTGTTTCTACCGAAAAAAAAAAATAGCCAGGCGTGGTGGTACACACCTGTGGTCCCAGCTACTCAGGCAGCTGAAGGGGAAGGATTGCTTGAGCCCAGGAGGTCAAGGCTACAGTGAGCAGTGATTATACCCCACAGCACTTCAGCCTAGGTGACAGGGTGATACCCTGTCTCAAAAAAAAAATGTTGATATATTTAAATATGGAAAGTTCCTTATAAAAACCATAATTGATAATTGTACTGTTTTCTTTTTCCTAAATTTAGGTTGTTAAAGGCCTTACTTATTTGTGGAGTTTAAAGATTTTACATAGAGGTATGTGCTGGGCTTATAAGCTTGGGCTTAATTGGGTGGGGTTGGGTCTCTCCAGAAAACTTGATTTTTAAAGTAAGTGTTCTGACATTTAAGCCAGCTGATACATCTGGTACTCAGAAAGATGGCTGCTTTATAAATGTTATTTTTCTTGTTTTCTCCATCAACTGCCCTCATTTAGATTATAAACTTGGTAGCGTGTTTTTGTGAATCACCTTTGTCAAACTTGTAAAAAGATATTTCATAGTATTTGAAAATAACAGGATCTTGTTTGTCTTACTTAACTCTTGTTAATGCAAAACCTTTGCTTTCTGTACAGTTACATCCTTCCTTCTAGTAACATTTCAGATAGTATCACACACTGTTCCTTAAGAGATTGCTTCACATACCTGGAAAGAAAAACTTTATTTTTAATTTTTTTAAAGATGGGTTCTTGCTATGTTGGCCAGGTTGGTGTTAAACCCCTAGCCTCAAGCAATCCTCCTACCTTGGCCTCCCAGAGTGCTAGGATTCAGATGTGAGCCATCGCGCCTGGCCAAAAGTAAAACTTTAAATAAGATATTGGTGAAAGCATCAGGAATAGTCCCCTTGTCCGGTAACAGAACACATGAGAGAATAATCAGATAACTGTTGAATATTGCAAAAGGAATCTCCTTTTGTTTTTTTAATGTTTCCAAAATATCTTAATTCATTTGGAGCAAATTATTAAGTGAGAAAGAGACTATAACAAAGCAACTTCAAGGCCTAGTGTTACTAACAGTGCTGTTTAATTTTACACATCTGCTCATCTTAGCTCTATGTGCATTTGGGGAATGGAACAGCATACACATTAGATATGATTAAAGGAAAGATTTTTTTTAAGAGTATAAACTGTGAGATGGAGAAAACAACTGATATTTTCAACTGTAATGTCATATCTGTCACTACAGGTTGTTTTCTTTTGTGGTGGTTTTAATATCCTAGTGATTCCACATCTCTTCTGAAATCCTGCTCCTTCTTTTTAATGAGGGTATCTAGATTTTGACAAATAAAATATTCAGGTTTTTGAAGGTATTTATTCTGACTAAATGAAATCATAAACTAGATTTCTTTTTAAAGTCAGTCCACTCCATTTCTAGAGTATAGTTCATGCGAAAGGTAAGTGTAGGGAGAGTGAGTTTTGTTAGTATTACTTTCTCTGGGTATAAATAAGTGTGTAAACACATTTGGTGGATGAAAGAAAAATTGAGCATTTTTGACTACCAAGAGTAAGAGATAACAATATTTAACATTGTATAACTTATATTGTTTCTATTCCCTGTACTTTTACCTCCCCACACCCAGCAACCCATAAAGTGGTGATAGCCATTTTAATAAGAATTAACCCAACGGTCAGTTCTCAAAATTTTATTGATTTTTTAAAAATGGACATCTGCCATCCATTTGACAAAAGAACTAAAGGGAAAACATCCATTCTTAATAGCAAAGCTTTCTTTAAACGGACAGTGCTATGGAAATTCGAGTGTTATTAGAAAGTGAGTGTTAGGGTCATCATGTACTCTGGGCATACAGGTTAATTCTGGCTTATAATGAAATCCCTCTCTAGCTATAACTTTGTGCAAGGATTCTTAGTAGCACAAAGAACTATGGTGGATAGGGAAATACGTTTTAGTTATTCTGCCATTATCTTGATTTTTGTTCTTTAAAATTAGAAATCATGCTGATAAGTTGATGTACCTTTCGTATTCCTCTGTCTAAATTTTTTTAATTTTAATTTTTACTGTGGGTTTGGGGGAAATAACTAAAATTTTCATTTGAAATGGGATCTTGATAGACATGTTTCAAATGGATTTGTCTGTATCTAAAAATAATGTCGAGGGTCAGATTCTCAGTATAATCACTTTATGATCACTGTGACCAAACTTGGTTGACCAGAGCCTGTCAGAAGCCAGTAGGTCCTTTTTTTCATCCCTGGTTGCAACTTGGGCTAAGAAAGGGCTCTTTTGTTAGTGATGGACAAGGGCTGCAGTGGTTTGACTGATGGAGAGCATAGAGGTTTCAAAAGGGAATCCTGGGCCTGTACTTACTTTTTCAGTTGGTGCCAGCCAGCCCAATTCCTACAGAGAATAGCCTGCTATAAAATGCCACTTGTTGTGAGAAGATATCTGTTGGGGACAGATTAGGAGCAGTGGTAGAGGGCTGACAAGTCCTCTCAAGGAATTTCAGTGAATGAGTGTGCACCTACATCTGTCTTGATGGAAAGACTAACGAATTGCAGTGCAGATGAACAGTTATGTCCCAGTAGTTATGGCCACTCAACTACAGAAATAAATATGCTGTGGTAATACACCTCATTAAATATATTCATATTTAGCTTTTGAGTGTCCCAGCTATTCATGGAAACTTTTACTTTCTAGACTTAAAAGCATGTGTTTTTATTGAAGAGTCAAATAAGCCGGATGTCCCTGAAGACTTTTGTAAAGCATTGTAATGAGAAATTTACCCTAGATTGAGTAGTTGTTAACTTAATATTTTAGAGGTTTTGTCCATATTTAATAACTTGGATTCCATAAAAATAAGATTAAAGATGCCTTTTTATTTACCAAAAAGCTATTTAATTTTCTTCTTGATTAAAAAATTGTAGCTTTTTAGATCAGTTCAATCAGGCAATTAAAGATCAGAGCTTTTAAGTTCAGCTAAGGCAATTAAATAGGTAATATACTTGTTTATGCACTTTTGCTGTATAAGCTCATTGCTGTTCCTTCTTAAAAGCACATGTACTCATTTTTGCTTTCTCTAAATGAATGATGATGGGAATTCTAGCTGAACATGTGTCACATTGTCAAATCAAAGACAGGGGTCCTTCTGCAGCGGCTGGGGAGCCCAGTTTAGGCATTGTGAGAGGATAGTGAAAAGAAGATGGTGAAAGAGAAATACTAATGAGTGATCTTTACCTCTTCCTCCTTTGTCTTGGTCTAAGTACCTGTGTTCTCCTCTGATCATCATTTTCTAATGCTGTTCTTAAAAAGCAGAGTAGAAAAAAAAAAAGAAATTGCTTTGTACTTATGGGCACAAATTTCAAAAGATTAAGAAATGGAGACGTGTTCAGTATCTAATGAGAAAAGAGAACAAACTATTTCTCACATTTATATGGCCTCCTTGGAATACAGTGGTTCTGGATTTTAGCTATAGAAAGTGGATATATAAATAGTATATTACAGAATTTATTAAAGGTAGTTAATGGCTTCTAAACAAACTCTTGAAAACCTGGAGTCTCTCCCATAGTGTATATCCAGTGAGGACTGTAGAGTAGAATGAAATCTGAGCAATAAGCAGTGGCATACTACCCATCTCGTGAAGCTTGTTAGTCTGGTAAAAGTTAGTTTATTTGATAGTATATTATGTCAATTGGAAATTGTTTTGGAAATTGAAGGACAGCAGTTGCTATTCATAATGGATCATCAGATATTATATTCAATCAGGTGTTACTGTTGTTTATTTTGCTCTTTTTAAGATTTGGTTGAGATATATGTGCAGGGACTTCATAAACTATTGAATGCTAAGAATGTGGCATGTTTTTATTATAACCATGAATTAATCACTTTATTCAGTTAATAAGAATACATCACTCCAAAACCAAACCAGGGAGAGAGTTTATTATACTTTATATTACTGAGTCAAAAATTATGAAAATCTTTTCTCTAAAATAAACCAAACATGTGATAATTCCATATGAGGACATAATTATTAAAAATGTTTGAAATGCCCACCAAATTAACCACTGCAGAAAAGTTGTCTTTATTAAAAGGCATATGTGAGAGCACTATAAGCATAGCATGTGCTGACTATGGGTAAAAACAAAGAAAATGAACAGTGAGAAAATCTGTTAGGCCAGATCCGACATTACAGGAAACATCGCAGCTTCACTTCAAAACATACATCGCCACTAATGAGGTGAGAGCCCTGCATATTAATAAACCTACAGCTCCAGTCATAGCCATCATTACGCACATCAAACATAAATACAAGATTAACACCTATGCCATTTCTTTGGAAGATGTGAGAATGCCCTAGGAGTAACTGCTCTGTCTTTCCCTGAGGATAAAAAATAGAAATACAAGGGTAAGGAGAATAGAACTTAGATTAAGAAAATAAAATTGGCAATCATTCTGGAGCCATCTTACACAGATGCAGAAGTTTATAGAAGAAAAAAAAAAAAACCTGTATAGTTGGTGTGCCAGGGGTTTTTTTGTATATATGAACCTGGTTAGTTTCATTTACTTTCTCCAATAGGAGAACTTTTTAAAAATACATTTTTGCAGAAATTCTGTAGGCAAACACTGCCCAAATAGATTTGTGTTTAAAGAAACTGAGCTTTGTAGTTTCAGTGTACATGTTACAAACTTTATTTTCTACCCTTGGCTTTTCTCTTTTATAAATCTGGCCTCACACAGACTTTCCAATTAGTACTACCTTAGATACCAAAGCCAGTGTTAGTTTGGTCATTCAGCAACGATTTATTTTATACCTACTACGTTCTAGGCACTGTTCATAGTACTTGAAACACATCAAGACATGAAACAAAAGATTTCTGTGATCCTAGAACTCATGTTCTAGCAGTGATAGAGTGGGTTGGGAAACGTTCCTTAAACAATACTATACACAATAAATAAGTAAAATACAGAGTGCGTTAGAGGGTTGTTAGTAATAGAAAAGAAAAAGTAGATTGAACTTAGGGGAGGCAAAGAGTAGGTTGCATATTAATCAGGAAACCTCACAGGGAAGATGAGTTTGGAAGGAAGGCTTGAAAGGGGGAGGAAGTAGTCAAGTAGATATACAGGGAAGAGTTAGAGTAGACATAACAGGATGTGCCTGGAGTATCAGTGGAACAGCAAAGAGGCCAGTGTGTCTGTATCTGAGTGTGGGGGACGAAGGTAGAATCAGCTGTTAGGAAAATGTTTTGGTAATTCAGGTAAGTTTCAGGGGCCCAGATCAGGGAGATAGTTATAAAGATGGGGAGAAGT